TGTAACACTATTTACATAGAAAGACCATCTTTATTTAGAAGAATTTGTTCCAAATTATTATGTTTTTGGCAAACTACTTGATGATGTGTCAAATAAACTCTATGTTTTTTATAGCCACCTCTCAGATGGTTGCTAAAAGTCATATTTGCAAATAATGTTAAATGTCTGTATAGGCTGAATGTTTTGTGTTACTATATTCTTACAAGTATGAAAGCAAATGTCAGGTGCTTTTTGGTGGTTCAAAAAGAGAAGAAAGCAATTATCAACACTGGGCTTGTGACTTATTAATGAATTAAAGAGAAAAAAAGAAGTTAAATTCAGCTTTTGCAGAAAGAATACAAATCTTTCTCATCTGCCATGGAAGCTTACCTTATTTTCTCATTTCTAAGAGTTCACTGATTATAACATTCAATATTGATTAGTGATTGTTTTCAAGAAAAATAATCCAGCATATTAAATGTATTGATCAATTTTAAAACAGGCCCTGATTTCAGATATGATAAAATACAGAAGCTACACACATTTTAGAATGGTGGAAATTTGGTACTCTATATTTGAATTGTAGGAACTTGAAAGAGTGAAGACTCATTCCAAGAATAAACTTCTTAGTTTATTATTAGAAATAAAATGGGGACAAGGATCACCTTTTGGGGCACAATAATTCTTATTAACTCTGTGTACTTCTTTTCTTATACCTCACCCCCACTTGTGAATTAAAAGAATTAGAAAAATAGGGAAATTCCACTCCCCAGTTATGGTCATATTGTCAACAATATCACTGTTAAAAAAAAAAAAAAGTAAGAGAAAGTCAATAAATATTAGATGTTCTGCAACAATCACATTAAAGAATATTGCAGTTACAGTCCACCAGACTCATGTTTTCCTGAAAGCGTCACAAATCAGAACTACTCAGATAATACATCATAATGCAAATACATGACCACTAGCCTGTGATGAATAAAGTAGGACTTCTAGGAGTAGACTTAGTCATCTGTATTTTTTTTAAATCTCCACTTTGAATTCTGATACAGAATTCAGAGATTTTGAAAACACTATGGTGAATAGGTTGGGAGATCTTTGAGGATGGAATCTGTCTGTGCACTCTCTGATCTCCAAAGAAGTTCCTGGCTCATGGTTAAAAGTTGATAAATGTCTGTTGTAGAACAAATGTATGAATGGAATGTGCTAGGGTCCTGATGTGATTTAAAATCACTGAAAGAGGTTATATCAGGACAAATTGGTCAATACAAATGAGTTAGAAAATATATCACTGAGAATAAATGTATTCAAAAAGGTGGTGGTATCCAAAAATATTTCACTGAGTTCTCCTTGAGAATTCAGTAATGGGTAACCGATTTCAAAACCCTTTATAGATTTTACTTTTAATCCCATTTTATTTAATAAGAAAAATAAGACTCAAAACTGATTAGTTACAGAGATTAAAAAAAAAGAGTGTACATGAACATCATTTAACTTAAATTTACACATTTATACAGAGAACTTCATTTTCGTAGGTGCTGAGTGACCCAAATGGGTGAAAGTGTTGCTAATTGTACTTGCTATTAAAAGAAGAAGGGTGGGGAGTGGAGGAGGAGGAAAGGAAGGAAGGAAGAGAGGGAGGGGGAAAAAAGGGGGTGCTTCCAGCAATTAGTATATGCTTCAAACACCTTCAATAGTGTTAAAGTCGCAGATAGCTGGAGTCACAAAACCAGCAAGAGGTTCAATATACTCTATGTTTTGAAATGTGTATGTCCATGTATACGTAAAATAAATAAATCACAGGAGTTGAAATAATAGTTGGAAAGAAATATGCTATTGAGAAGTCTTTGTTTTAGATTCTTACAATAAAAGGGTGGTGGATACCCATAAAAAACACACTCTGGTCTTGCACATTCAGTTTCACACTATCTAATAACTGAAGAATGCATTGTATGGAACTAAAAGTCTAAATAATGTAGTTTCCAAACAGTCAATATGTGGAATTCTTGTAGCAAAATGTAGATTGCCTCACTAATCTTTGTTTCTGTTTTTGGTGTAGCCCTTCATTTCCTCAAGTCTCTCTTCTGCTGCCATGAGTTATAATCTCTTTTTTTATGCTAATCTTTATATAGGGCCCTATAAAGGGTCAACCTCCAGAGCATATAAACATGTATCTTCTCTTCTTCAGCCAACATTTTACATTGGTAAAATGGGGCAAAATGGGTGTCAAATATCTCCTTGATAGGTTGCTTTGTAGACCCATTTGTATATGTGCCCAACCAGCGTTGTGTTTTGGGTCAACCAGTTTCAGTTCATTTTAGGCATATGGGCTCTTCCTTTTCTTCTTAGTGGATCAACCTCTTTTTACCAAACTTGAAAATAGACAATCTCCAATTGAGCTTTTGCCTATGGAGACCGGTCTATCTTTTCTTTACCACACAAGATTTTAAGGTTACCAGTATTATTCACTTACTATGGCAAAAAGCATTTTGGATGATGAGTTAGAGTCTTGGATCTTCTATTTATTTTAAGGGGGTACCCTATGTTTTCTTGACAACCGTGAACAACAGAAGATTGAGCACTATAATGGGATACATGTCTAAGACTTGCAGGCTACTACTTCTCCTAGTCTCTTCCTATGAGAAACCTAACACCGTGATTTTGGTAATCTTTCTTTTTGAGTCTCAAAATCTTTCTCAAACTAGTGTTCCAGAATGCCAGCTTACCAACCCAGTCACAGATAGCATAGCAGTTAAAGATGATTTTCCAGCCCTGGACTACCTAATTTCTAAATTACCTTTCAGGTTTAATATTACATGGTTTTCTGATTGCAATTTTTGAGGATTCCTATTTTGATTTTATAGAGAGTTTTCAGTCATTCTTGCTTATATATGTAACAGGATAGATGATACCAAATAGTAATAAAAGTAATACATTTGTTTATATAATAATTGTTTCTAGTACTTGCTTAGTTTGTGTTCTTACTAATAGAGGTTAATAGGAAGTAACATAGTTGGTTTGAAGAAATCACAAAATATGTACTAAAGTAAATTTATATGATAAATAACAATTTATATATGACTCCAGAGTTTTTCTTTTTAAATATGAAAATTAAAATAGGTGATTTTCATATGTGACAGCAATATAATACTTTAAACTGAATTCTCTCATCTCAGCTTCTATACTTAAACTTTATAGTTCTTATGATAGATTTATGTAAACTGTTGCATTTATTTGATCATTTTAAATTACTGTAATCTAAACATAAATATCAATTCTGTATACCTTAAGATATTCTCCATATTTTGATTTTAAATGCTAAATGAACCAAACTTTTAGACAAGATCTTTTTTAAAAAGTGAATTCCTATTTGCTTATATAAATCAGTAATGGTCTTATTTCCTACTATGAAGCAGCAAACTTTTGACCAGTGTTTTTGCCTAAATCCATTGAAAGTATAACTATAAATTCATATTGCTTTTATAAATGTTGAATTCACAAATATGAGTAGGTTCTATGATTTTTACTGAAACTTCAACCTCTCAGTCAGTTATGGCCTAAGAAGCATTCATCCCTGATGCTACCTTTCAAATTCATTTGAAATCGTATAACCTGTCTTATGCTTGAAAATAATGTCCCTGATTATTACTAATTTATTTTGTATGTACTGGTTGGCTTAAAATTAATCATAATCCATTTATTTGGTGTTTATATGCATGTCATTTGTATAGTACTTCTAAGCTTGCCCTTTGTCAGCCTTCATTAGCTGGCCAGTTAACAACATGGAGGTACTTCTCATGTAACTTTGTTTTCGATTCTTTTAAAAAAAACTCTGCAAAACAGATTATAATAATATATATAGAGAGAGAATATTATACCTACAATGCCTAAAATCTAGAATAATGCCTGGACCAATCGTAATAACTGGCCTTCTCAAATAAAATTTATTTTATCTTGATTCCATCTGAATTTACTTTTGATTTTCTTTCTAATCTCTTGCCTTCAGAGATTGGCATTATGAGATCACTAAGATATCTTAACTCTTATTAAACTTATTAAGAGTTAAGACTTATTAGGGGGTACCTAGCTGGTTCTGTCAGTAGAGCATGCTACCCTTGATCTCAGGGTTGTGAGTTCAAGTCCCACATTGGCCACGGAGATTACTTTTAAAAAGGAGAAAGAAAATTAAGACTTATTAACTTTTTTTTTCTATATATGTTATGTCTTGATACATACTTATAATATATATTTGACCCAGTTTTAAATATGTTCTGAAGTAAACATATATGCATATACAGAATAGTTAAAATGAAATTAAAACACAGATAATAAATCATATAATAAAGATTAGAAATTGTTCAACTAGAAACCAGAATGAGATAATTGTTGAAACTCAGTATTTGATTTGACCATGAGTTTTCTGACTGCCAAGGAAAAGAACAAAAAACATTTTCATTTTTCTGGTTTAATAAGAAAGAGTGTCATTAGACTTTTAGGTACCAAAATGGCTGTTTTCTGTAGCCAGAAATTCCTTACTTAAGCCTTTCATCTTCCTTTTATTCATTCACCAATTTACATATTATCTGCTTTTTGAAAACTTGCATTACATACTCAACAAAGAATTGTTTTTTCTCTGAATTTATACATTGCTAATTATAAAAGTATAGCTGTTACTAATTGAGTGCCTATCATATGAAAGGCAAATAACAGATACTGAATTATCTCCAATCCTAGCAATAATCCTGCAAGATTCATGATATTTTACCCTCTTTGCAGATGATGAAACTGAGACTAAGAGAAGCAAGTAATTTGCACAAGGTCAAATAGCTAATAAGGGCAGAGTTCCTTAGCTGAATTCTGGTAATACTCTGTAATTATAGGATTTCTTCATGGAGAATGTTCATTTAAAAAAAAAAAATCCATAGCTGTGTAATAATTCCATAAGCTTTTTTCACTCTTCCTCCAAAAGAGAAGTTATATGAAACCCATTGACATTTGAATATTACTCTGCTTTCTTGCAGCCTGTGAACTTATGAATCAAGGCATCTTGGCCCTGGTCAGCTCCATTGGCTGCACGTCAGCAGGGTCCCTCCAGTCGCTGGCAGATGCCATGCATATCCCCCACCTCTTCATACAGCGCTCAACAGCTGGGACCCCAAGGAGTGGCTGTGGACTCACCAGGAGCAACAGGAACGATGACTACACTCTCTCTGTTCGCCCACCTGTCTACTTAAATGACGTTATCCTGAGAGTGGTCACAGAATATGCCTGGCAGAAATTCATTATATTTTATGATAGTGAATATGGTAAGTGTTTGTGATTTGTGTGAGTTCTATAATATTTGCGTGGCAAGCAACTTCATTAAATCTTGAAAAGCTTCAAGGAGCTTACTCATTGCTATCTGTGGTTTTCTTGTTCTGTCATAATCTTCTTACAAATCTAGCAGCAAAAGCAAAAAGTTTTGTTAAGTTCAAGTTCAGCTGTTTGTATTAAATCACTTTGAAGTCAATTTAAAAAATAAATACCTGTACCTAATGCTCAGTTTATAAATGTTTCTAAAGGGAGTCTGACTCCAATATATCTTGAATTTTCAAATATTGAGAAGTCATAAAGACAATATTTTCTTTCTTCCATTTTCAAAAACATTTTATCTTTATAGAATAATAAAACACTGTTTTGGACAGATCCTGGAACACTGAAAATAGATGCCTACTCATATTTACTGGTTAAAAAAAAAACTGACATATTTTACAACCTTACGCTCTTTGAAAGTAACAGTTTATATTAGTTAATAGCATGGTATTTTGTCTGCAATATGAAATTTCACAAAAATGCCGAGTAGTATGAAGACACTTAATTTCTTTAATTTCCCAAGATAAAACACAAAACATTAGCCTTATTTACTGTAATTCAAGAAGAAAATACTTAATCTCAGTATTTTTACTTGTGTTACATTAAGAAAAGTGAATAAAAATGGTAACTATATTGTTTATTTTTTTCCTGAATAAATCTGTTTTCTAACTGACTGATCCCAAAGATGTTCAAATTTAGTTTCTCCAGTTTTTGTCATTAGGGGGAATAGAGATGGATATCATAAAATGAAAGAAAATTAGCAGGTCTTCATGAAGATATAGATTTCGAAACATATGTTTCTTTAGAGATTTGCCTTAATAAGGACTCTCAGAAAAATATTTTCCATTCAGTCTTGATGAGTCTGGTTTTTATTTTTTTATTTCAAAAAATCAAGACGATTTCACCGTCTGTACTACAACCATTTTTTTCTTAGCAAATAAATAAACATTTAAAAATAATGGTTTTCTTGTCATAATCTACCCAGCATTGTGAACAATATTGGAGAACAGTTACACAAGAGCGAGCCAGAAAGTGGCATCAATAGAACTGAGTACAAACAGGTTGGCAGAAATCTGGAAAGCAACGAATAAGAACCCCTGTGGACTCCCAGGGAGGGAGAGCAAGTGGCAGTTACATTTAGCCCTAAATGTTCAAAGGTCGCATGGGGTTTTGGCAGCCTGAGTAGCAGTAAATTTGATGGGTAGATTTCAGCCAGAAGTCTGTGGCCCTCTCCAGAAGCACAGTTGTCTCCAGGACGGAAATCCTTATTTTTGTTGCTTAATTCATATTATTTAGGGATCACAGAACAAAAACCAAGAGACTGAAATGAATAAAATAAAAAAAGAAAAAATAATAATTGGCTCATCAGTAAAAGTAAGGGTTGAACACAAATTTGAAATTTGCTGATAGGATTATTTAGTGAACATTGTAAACTCTACCTCTGGAAAAAATATGTTGAATATGCTTTTGTCAGTTTTCTTTCCATCACATTATTTACGATTTTTATAACCTTAACTGGCATTCTCACGATCTCTGCTCAAATATTACCAGAAATAATGAATTTTTAAACTGTAAAGCTTTCTTTAATAGGGGGAAAATATTTTTTAGTTAGTCCTATCAAAATAGTCCAGTAAAATAGAGAACAGAAAAGTGTTTGTGGTGAAAGTTTTTCACAACATTAAAATGAGAATTTTACTTTTTCATTATATACATCCATGAAGAAAGAAAATCCCTTGTTGCCTTGTTTCCAAGTCCTACCTGGTTTACAGTTAGGAAATTCTCATAAGAGAAGATGTTTTTATTATTGATGAAGTAAATGTTTTTGAAAATGTACACTAAATTCATAGTCATAGAAAATCATTTACATTCATTTGACATTTCTTATTCTCCTTTCCTCTGTTTAATAAGTAAATAAATTGCTATTATCACAGTGTATGACTGAGTCCTCTGTTAGAAGCAGGGTTTGTTTTAGGAATAATAATAATAACAAAAATATTTTCTTTTACTTTGATGATAAACTTGCTTTTGACTTACTTTTTAATTTAATAATTCATGAAAAATTACCCTGCTTGTATCCTTAAAATTATTTCCACTAATATTCTTGCTTAACAAAAGAAAATTTCCCTTTGATACTCACAATAAATCTTGCTAGTAAAGAACTGGGCTAGAGTCCAAAATAAACATCAAGCTATCCAAATACCTTCTACCTTGAAGAGGGCTACATGTATTTACATATCCATTCATCAATGTCATCATTTTAAGTTCAAACATTGGAATTATACTTGACTTTTATCTTAGTTATCAGGAATTGCTTTCATTAAGGAATGGATTAAGCATCATCTATGGATGAAATAAGGCATCCTGCTGGAGCCAAATGTGATTGAAAATGTATTTTGCTTATAAAAATATACTTTAAAGAAAAAGAAAAAAAAAACGAGATTAGGCTTCTATATCCAGTTAATTAGAGAAACACTTTTTTCAAAAGCAGTTAATTATGATTAAGGGCACAGTATAAAAGTCTACATTAAATTCCCTAACAAAGAAAATTCAAGTCTTTGATTCTAAGTAAATGGATGAAAACAGAAAAGAAAATGTGGAAACTTTATTTGAATGGATTGATTCAAGACATTTTTTAAAAGGCTTGAAAAGAGTTTAGGAAGCGTTGAGCTTTTTAAAAGTGTGTCATTTAAGCAATGTTCATTGCTCACTTGCTTAGTGCAATGCAAAATATGAGATAAGAAGTTTTACAGAATGTAGTCTTAGCCCTTAAGAAGCTTACAATTAACAAAAGAGGTAAAATATTTATGACTCTTCTAATCGAGAAAATAGTATGTTAAGTGTCATGAATGATGCAAACCGAATGCTAATGGTGTTTAATGAAGAAGGTGTTGAATTTTTGGCAGCAGGGATCAAAGAAGGGTGTATGGGTGGACCTTGACCTTGAAAGTTGCCTTTCGAAATGCTAGCTAACTTTCACAATATGTGAGAGACAGTCACGCCAACAGAAAGAAAGTGTGAACAAGTCTTGTAGCAATAAAATGTATTAAAAATAGTATCTCTGAACACTTAATTTGCCAGGCCTAAGAATAAGCATTTTACATTAAATCATGTAATCTTCTCAACAACTCTATGAAGTTGGTAATATTATTATCACAATTTTACAAATAAGAAAACAGAAAACAAAACAAAACGAAACAACTGGTTTACTTGCTCACAAAACACAGCTAAGTATCAGAGCTGAGTTCTAAAATCTGATCAGAGCCTATACTCCTGTGTATAATGAATATAAAGGAGTTACAGTGAACTATTCCCAACGTATATAATAAAAAGCGCTAATCTTACAGAGAGCATTTATTATCCCCAGGCTCTGTTCCAAGTGCCTACACTTATCATCTCATTTAAGCCTCACAACAGCCCTCTGAGGTAGAGGATGATGATAATAATGATGATGATGATGATTTTTGCAAATGAAAAAACTGAGGATGTAAGACATCAGGTAATTTGCAAGTAAGCTGAGAAGCATGAATTCAAACCCTGATAGTCATTTCCATAGTCTTTGCTTTTCACCACTAGGGTATTCTGACGCTATGGAAATAAGAGTAAAATTAATTCCTGACAACTGTAAAATTAAAAAAAAAAAAGTTTACAAATGAAATACATAGAATCATCTTTATTAAAGAGAGACAATGATGTCAATCCTGCAGATCCTCACTGTATTAGTATCATCAAGGAAAAATACTGTATGTTGATTCGGAAGATTGGGTTATCACTGGAAATATGGAAACAGGACTGTCATGGGCCAAAGGAGGCTGACCCATCACCACAAACAGCTACCTGCCTGCAGAATAACTATTCTTGCTTTTAAATTTGCCAACAGAATGCAAAGTTCATTTGAGAGACCAATACCTCCCACTGAAAAACTATATTTTTTGGCTCTCTTACAGCTGGGAATTGTGATATAATATTGTCGAGAGCTATGAAGGGTCTGAGATTTTACTTACATCAGTTTCACGGATGCTGGCAGAAAACACTCTACTTCTTTAGACAGATAGAGGACTTTAATGCTCATGGTACAGCAAGCAGCGTGAGCCTCATATTAATGCTGCTTCCTCTTGACCTCATGTCTTATAAGACTACGTGGAGCTACTCCAGTGGATGCTGTACATGCAGTGAGCTTGTATGGCAGCTGAGGAGCCCTGGCTTTGGGAATCTGGATCTTGTATGATGGGCTGCTAAGTAAACCTTCTTGGCATATGTCCAGAAAAAGACACTATCTTCGTTGTAAATAAGTCTTTCTTACCTAGGGAGAGTTTCTGCTTGCATAATATGCCATAAGACACCAAACCTATAGAGAACTGTCTCTCCAAAAGACTTTTTTGTTTGTTTGGCATATATATATATATGCCAGTCCTAAAACCAATCTGGTTAATCTTACTGACAGGAGGTAAGATCAGATCAACTCAATTTGTCTCTTCTGCATTTATCTAAGGACACTATAAATAAGATTTTTAATAAGCAAGATTGGTATTAACTATGCCCATCAGGGTCCTGGACTCAGCAAGCCAAATAAATCCCATGAACTACCAAGAGGCTACTTTAAAAAGTCAGAGAGTTTCCTCCTTAAATTTCTGCAAAATCCTTTTACTTGGCCAGAAGCATTGATCCAGGTACAATGGGATTTATTTATAATTGCAAAGATTCTACCTGTCTCACAAGGGGAAGTTCTATCATCCAGAACAACCTTGTCCAATGAGCTGAGGCTGACCTGAATGACTTCTAAGGCTGAAATCATACCATCAATCACTTTAGTGAAATTCAGGGGGAAAAAAATCTAATTGGATGATTCCTATCATAGGGAAGAACACCTATAGGACACACCTCAGTGATAAATCAGATATGGCTCCATGTAGCTCCCCCAAATTAATTAGGTAAGCCTCACTTTAGAGAGACCTCA